ATATTATTCAATGCATGTTAATTCGGCTAATATATAATAAGTCAGTTAAGTAAGACATAAAGTTCTAAATATGGCTTTCACTTAAATTTGGGGTCAGCACTATGGTTGAAATCCCTCGTTCATTTAAGTTTGGGCCTTAAAAAGTCAACTTCGCATTATTATTGACTTCAAATAGTCAATAATAATGTTGGACCTAGATCTCTCTCTCTCTCTCTCTCTCTCTCTCTCTCTCTCTCTCTCTCTCTCTATATATATATATATATATATATATATATATATATATATATATATATATATATATATATATATATATATATATTGTATATTTTGTTTCACAAACTTACCTTAATTAAACCTAATTAAGTTTAATCAGGCTTCGGCGAGAGTAAATGAGTGTTAGAGCAGAGAATGGCTCTCCTAAATCAATCATGGTGAGTCATGTGTGCTATTCCTCTAAACAGCTTTTTACAAGAACTTTCAGATTTTGCGAGATCTGTTTATTCATAAAAAAAAATTACTTATTAAATACAAAATTTGATTTTATACTTGTTCCAAGCATATTCTTGCATCAAGAATATAAATTCTTGTTACAAAAATATGCTTCTAATAATTATATTAACAAGAATTCTATTCTTATATTTATAATATGCTTCTAATAATTAAGAATTATATTACATGAATATAAACATAAGAAACGTTGTTTATCACACAGTGAAAAAATTCTTTAGATAAGCGTTTTCTTCAGGTTTTTACACTAGCTATTAATTTATTAACAATTTTACTTATTTAATAAAAAATTAGACAAATAAAGAGCTATGAAAATTTTTACTGCATATAAAAAATATTTTATATTTTCTTACTGTTATAGAATGCAAAAAGTTAAAGAATTATTACAACACTTAAGAAAAGTTAAAGAATTATTACAACAATTTAAGATTCCAAAATAAAAGTGTTTATATAATTAATTTTTTTTTTAGCAGAACATTTAATTGTGCATTATATTTTTTTACTTTGTTCAAACTGAGATATATTTAAATAGTTCGTTATAATTAACATATATTTCATTACACAATATAAAAATAATTATGCAATAGTTTAGTGCGCAATAATTTTATCTTATATATGTGTTTGAGCAACTTAAAAAAAAAGCAGTTATAACATTCAAAATGAATGTTTTAACTGCTACAAAACTTTGAAAAATGTTTAATATTATAAACTGAATTTTAAATAACAACTTTTATAGGAAGACTTAGTATTGACGAAGAAAAGAATCTATAACAGAATATTATTAATTTATTTTTCATAATGGCATTTTTATAAGAAACTAATTTTTTATTTAAGAAACTGGTCAGTTAGTAAATCTAATTAAAAACATTTTAGTTTCAATTAATGCTCTTTTTAAATTTTTTTTTTTTTGCAGTAACTTTAAAAAAGTCTTTAAAAAAGCAATGCAGTGCAGTTTATTATACAATTATTAATTTATTTTGAAAATGACTCAAGCCTTTTTTGTTTTAGTTACAATGATAATGTTATTTATGTTATAGTGGTATTGACTGTTATGCAAAAAAATTTAAAAAAATAAACAATCACATTTTTATAAGCAAAAAAAGTCAATCTGAAACTTAAACTTTGTATTTTTTTATTTGATATAATTTGCGCAAGAATTTTATAAAAAAACCAGTAAGGAATTTTTTATGCAATTCTTGAAAATATCCAATCGGCTTGTCTTGTCTTCAAATGTTTCAGATGTTTTCACAATCATCTTGACTTCATTGCCTTAAATATTTTGGTGAATAGCTATAAGTGTAATTCTTTTTTTAGGATATTTTGTAAAGTTTTCTCAATTTTTCTATAAAATAAAAATCTTATTATAATTTAACTTATTTATTATTTAGAACTATGTACTAACAAAAATCTAACTATGTATTTATAAATCTAACTATATTGACAACAGAATGTGTTTTTTATTTATACTAGCAGTAAGCAACCTGAAATACGGGTTAGTAATAAATAAATAACAATTTAACTTGATTGATTATCTGAAAAATATAAAATACAAATTCATGTATATATAGGGCTGCCATTATCCACGTAACTTAAGATATTAGGTTCTTTTTAACAACAGCAAGCACCCAAGAAGGAAAGCCAAGTACAACTTACCAATACCAAAAAAAAAATCATCTTAAACACAAAAGCATTATTTTACATATTTATTAATGTGTTCATGTATTAGTGTAAAATATTTCTTAAACATGGTCATTATCAATTATGGTACCAAAAAATACATAAGAGCTTAGTAATAACATAGTGTTCCAATAATGCTTTCCTTTATTAACCAACTTTTGTTAAACAGAGAGGTGACAGATTGGGCAAAGGTATGTGTTAAAAAAAAGTTACAATAAATTATTATATTCATAACTTAAGTTATTGTTTTTAATAAAAATGACAAAAAAATATATATTAGCACAAAATAGCTATAGCACAATTAACCATTAAAAACAGGCTTTTTAATGTTACCACTAACCAAAATTATTTTTACCTTAATAGTTTAGAATTCCAATTTCTTTATAACTGTGAATAATGATTAACAAAGTAAATTTCATGTCATATAAATTTACTAAATTAAAACCATGTTTCTACAGTAAGCAAACTAATAAAGCAATAACTAAAAAAAAAAAAAGAATACAATTATGTTTGAACTCCAAAAAAAAAAATTAAAAAAAAAAAAATATTTTAGGATAAGTATAATCAGTTATATGAAAATTTAATAAAATTTGATTCATAAAAAAATGTATTGACTAATAGTAGAACTAAAATATATAACAAATCTGATAACAGTCTAATTAATTAAAGTCATAAAAACTTAGTTATTATAGTAATCTTTAACTTATCGTTGCTGAATATTTGAAAGTAATGAGAAAAAAAAAGTTGGGTATAAAAAAAGTAGATACACATAAGGTTGAATTTCAATTAAAGTATAAATATTAGCAGTTATCTGATGGGTCCAAAAAAATTATAATTGGTAACTTTAAAAAAAAAAAAAAAAAAAAAAAAGATATGTAGCTTAACAAATTCTAGTATTTATATTTTGATACTGATTATAGTAAAGATTTTTACTTATTTTTAGTTCTAAAGTGTCTTATGTAAAGAATAATTAAAAGAAATTATTACCACTCGGCACTATGTGCCAAGTAATACCACAACAAAAATATCATATTGCATACTTCTCAGTTTGCTTTGGTTTTTTTCTATGAAAGCAAGACACTGCTCTTCAATTTTAACATATGCATCAGCAGTATATTGCTGAAATAGTTTCTTTCCATAAATTATTGAACAGAAGTTTTGTCTTACTGAAGGAATATAATTGTAAAACTGAAATAATTTAACGTGATTTTTAGGGTTAGGCACCAATTATGACATCTTGGAAAAAAAGTGAATAAACCATAGGATCTAAGCTAGCTGACGTACTCAATATAATTTCTAAACGACTTTTTGGGTAAATAACTTCCCTGGAAGCAGGTGGAGCACCATCTTCTCCAGTAAATACAACTGCAACATTACTAACTATAGCTTGCAAATAAAACATTAAATTTTGTAGGCAAAGTTGATCGCTATGTTATTTTTTTTCTGCTGCAAAAGGGTCAGAGATAAACAGTTGATAATGTTGGGGGAATAGTTTGATCTGGCCTAAGATTACCTACACAATGGAAAAACTTGAACAAAAGTTTTAAAATATGGCAGCCTATGATTCATAAGTTAAACCACATTATCAGTAAATAAAGAAAAAAAAAACAGGAATTATAAATTCTAATATATTTTTAAAAAATTGATATTGGAATTATGATATTACTTCCTGTAAATCTTGTAAAGCTTGTGGAAATAATAAAAATAAGCAAAACTACTTTCCCATATTTTATTATATTAAAAACCTATAACAATTTAATTAAAAACTTATTGAAATCCATATCTTTTTATAAGTTTATATAAATATAAAAATATATATAATTTACTAAAAAAATAAAATAAAAAATCTGTTTATGAAATGAACTTAAATTTATTTAATATATAAAACATCATTTCTTAGTATTAATTATTTTTAATGTAACCAAAAATGCAAACTACAGTGCACAACATTGTTAATAAAAATGAAGTTATGTCAGGTAGTATATATTTATTAAAGGTAATGAAAAAGATTTAAGAACAAAATTAAAAATTCCAAATAAATATATATTCAGATACCTTAAAGTAAAGCATAACACAACATTCTTTCGACAACTTCCAGCAGAATTTTTTTTACTTTGTCTATTCCTTATTATTTTCTCTGAGAGAAAATATACATATAGATATAAAGAAATATAAAATATACTGAAATATACTCAAATTTATGTATATAAACTTACATATCCACAAATAACAGTCTTATTTTATTTAACTTTTTATGTTAAACACATAAATAAAATTTTATTCTCATTAATCCTTCTACAAACAATAATCTTTATTTATAAATAATAAAATAAATTGAACTTACTAAAAAAGTCTTGAGCTCCTTCTTACTGGTCTAAAATCAATACTTGCGTAAAATGTTCTAAAAAGACTAAACACAAAACTTTTAGTTTTAACTTCTAAAAAAAAACAACCAACAACAAGTAAATGAATTTTTAAATTTTATTTTATTTTTTAAACAATGAACAACATAAATTCTTCTTTAAACTAAAAATTTATCAGCTCTAATTTGCTTGCAGACCTTGCTCATAAGGCTTTATGAAATATAGGACCGCGTATAGAAAAGCATAGAAACTACTTTAAAATGATGTAAGTCGACTACTACTATTAACTATTAAATTATAGTATTAATATTAAGATATTATTTTAATTGTCAATGCCGCAATTATAAAGAAACCCTTTTTAATGTGTTTTTTTTTTAAGGTAAAATTTTAGACATTAAAAACAGAAAATATCTTTTGGTACTAGAAAAAGTTCCTACTGCCCACCAAAAAATCCAGGTTGGCTACCACTAGTTAAAATATGAAACAAAAAATTTACCCAAATAGATAAAATTCAAACAATAAATTCAAAAATTATTCTAATGAATTATGGCTAATATACTAGGTTGGTTGAAAAGTTCGCGGAGCGGCACCTATGTTGCAGTAGTAGAAACAAATTTATAACTGTATTAAACGTATTCATTCTTCGTATGAACGCATAAAAAATTTCAAGTCGATATGTCATTTCAGTCTTTGTTTACAAGCTATTGAAATTAGACGTGTCATAGTATTTTTTAAAATGGAAAATATTGAACATCGTGCTGTAATAAAATTCTTTGTGAAAAAAGGTTTAAAGTCCATGGAAATTCATAATGAAATGGTAAATGTGTTGGGTGATGATGCTCCTTCAAAAACAACAGTATGCAAATGGGCTGCGGAGTTTCAACGTGGGCGTTCAAGCCTTGAAGATGACCCTCGCTCTGGACGTCCAAAAAGTGCTACTACTGAAGAAACGATTAATGCTGTGCATGACATGGTTATGGATGATAGACGATTGACCAAACGTGAAATTGCTGAGGCTGTGGGCATCTCAGATGAACGGGTATTACACATCTTGCACGATGAATTACGTCTGAGAAAGCTGTTGGCAAGATGGGTGCCGCATTCGCTAACTCTGGATCAGAAACGCACTCGAGTAAAACTTTCTCAAGAACATTTGGCCCGTTTTCAAAAGAATAAAACAGATTTTGTGCGTCGATTCGTAACCATGGATGAGACTTGGGTTTACCACTATGATCCGAAGCTGCGACAACAAACTGCAGAGTGGACAGAACCCGGTTGTTCAGCTCCGAAGCAAGTGAAGGTGTCAAAATCGTCAAAGAAGGTTATGGCATCAGTTTTTTGGGATGCGAAAGGAATTTTATTAATAGATTACCTTCAAACCGGTAAAACGATAACAGGTGAATATTATAAAAATCTTTTGGACCAGTTGGATAAAAAAATTCGTGAGAAAAGACCTGGTTTGCTGCATAAAAAAATCATTTATCACCAGGACAACGCACCTGCTCATATCAGCGATGTTGCAAAGGCGAAATTGGTCGAATTAAAGTACGAACGCTTGGAACATCCACCCTATTCACCAGATCTGGCTCCGTCCGACTTTCCACATCTCAAAAAATTTCTACGTGGAAAGCGTTTCTCATCACATGAAGAAGTCATTGCAGCCGTAAATGGGTATTTTGAAGGCCTTCCGAAATCGCACTTCAGAGATGGGATACATGAATTGGAGAATCGTTGGAAAAAGTGTATTGCTCTTAAGGGAGAATATACTGAAGAATAAAGTCATTTTTTGAATCATAAAATTGTTTTTTCATTTCCGCTCCGCGAACTTTTCAACCAACCTAGTATATATATATATATATATATATATATATATATATATATATATATATATATATATATATATATATATATATATATATATATATATATATATATATATATATATTATAACTATTATATAACAATATACTAAAACTAATTTATTTAAGTTATTTTTAGTTAGTATATTGCAATCAATAAATAAATCAACAAAATATCCTTATAATTAATAAATATAAATATTATAAATAAATAATAAAATCCATAAGTAATTGTTAAAAACAACTTAAATCAAATAATTTAAATCATGATTTTATTCATCCAATTTAAATCATGATTTAAATTGATTTAATTCAACCAATTGAATGAATAGATTTATATTAAAATAACCCTTTTAAATAATTTTATTTTTTCACAGTAGATGATGGTGTAAAAAATATTAAGAAAACTATTTTTTATATTTTAAGAGTGCTATACATGCAGAATTCGCTAGATTCTGAGCCAGAGATTTTCCTTGATCCAAACACTTTTTGTGTAAATGGATCAATATCTATTCAACAAGTTAGCTTTTCAAAAGATGGAAACACATGCGCCTATGGTGTGAGTTCAAAAGGATCTGATTGGACTACAATTAAAGTATTTTTTTTTAAAAACACATGTTTAATTATACATTAAAGTAGTTGTTATTATAGTACTAGTTGTTGTTGTTATTGTTGTTGTTATTGTTGTTTTTGCTGTTAATATTGTTGTTGTTGTTGTTGTTATTACTATTATTGTTGTTGTTGTTGTTATTATTATTGTTGTTGTTAATGCTGTTGTTGTTATTTTTATTGCTGTTGTTGTTGTTATTGTTGTTGTTGATGCTGTTATTGCTGTTTTTTTTATCGCTGTTGTTGTTATTGTTGTTGTTGTTGCTACTAATGTTGTTGTTGTTGTTATTGCTGTTGTTGTTATTGTTATTGTTGTTATTGTTGCTGTTGTTGTTATTATTGTTGTTGTTGCAGTTTCAACTTACAAATCTAATAATAAAATTATATGTTTTATTTATATACAGACCTTGTTACAAGATTTTGTGGCATAAAAGAAAAAAGTTACGCATGTAAATTGAACTCAGCTTATCATATTAAAATTAAAGTGCCTCATTTTTTTATTTTAAAATCATAAAGTTCAAATTTAAACCAAAATTAAAAATTATTAAAATTATATAGCTAAAAATTACCAATTAAAAATTACTTAATTTTTTATTATTTTATATTAAATGATTCTACACTAATATTATATAATTTTATATTTAATGAACTATTTTTAACAAAAACTATAAACGATTTATAGTTAAATTTTATCAGTTAATAATAAAATATGTTATAATAAACAAAATATCTTAATATTTAATTATTTACATCACATCAAGTGTTGCATTTTTTAAATAATTATGGCAAATAATTATTTATTTTTGATAAATATCTTTATCAAAGAAACATCAAAAAAAGAATTAAATTGCATGGAAAGATTGTATAAAAATAAGAGAAAAAAAATATATATTGTGTTTATGCTATATATTGTGTTTTTTTTTTTTTTTTTTTTTTTCTATAGTTATTCCTTCCACATGTTGTTAGAAGCTTCATTTTTTTATAATTACAAGTTTGTACTATTATATTTAGTTTTTGTTATTTATATATATTTACAATTTTGTATTATTTTAGTTTTAAATATTTAAAAAAAGAAAGAACAAAAATAAACAACCAATTTTTTTAAACAATTTGGCTTTAATAAAACCTTTGTGTACTGCTCACTATGTATTTCTAATTGGCGTTCTTTCTATGATCAATTTAAAAAATAGAGGTGAAAGTAGGGCTTTGGAGCCTAGGTCAAAAAACTGGCTCCGGCTCCAGGCTCCAGCTCCATTAGAATTTTTGGCTCCAGCTTCGAAGCAGCTCCAAAGCGGCCCTGCAAAAAAAAAAAATCAAAATTTTTTCAAATGTTTTATGACAGTAACTTAAGTACTATTAACATTTTGTTAATCAAAATCTTAATTCATCCTTAAAAATAAATCTAAAGTATCAGGTTTGAGTGAAAAATGGAGATCGCTCGATACAAACTTAAGAGCAGAAAATAGCCTTTCTACACTTGCTTGTGAGATAGGTATACAAGTGACAACTCTGCATGCTGTATTCTTTGTATTCTTTTTGGTTATTCTTCAATTTATTCAAAAGCTGAGTTCACTTTTGAACGTCCATTTTTTCCATTATCCTACAGTCGTTCAAAAAATTTGTTCTAAAAGTATTTTTATCAAATAAATTTAAAAAATAAGCGTGATCAAAAAGAATTTTGGTCACACCTTCATCTTTCTTTTTTATCATGCTCTTTTTCAAACTCATCCTCTTTTCAGTTTTAAGTGAATCCAATTCCTCTATCGGATTTAGATTCACTTAAAACTGAAAGAAGTACTGTAGATAGCACAGCAGTATTTCTTATTTCTTGACTTTCTATTATATTCTTGGCATCGCTCTTATAATTTTTTTCTGCTAGTGTTTTTAAGCATTGCTTTGCTTGTAATATTTGGTTTTCTTCCAATAGTATTCTATATCTAGCATCAACATAAACTGAAGCTAGAAATATATCATTATCAAAAGGTTTTTCTACTTGTTTCTGCATAGATTTTGAAATGTCTTCTGCAAATAGTCCTTGATTCTTCTCTCGGTCAGACTTTAATTTCAACCATTCCTTTACGAACTCTCCTGGAGTAATGTCGATTAACTGTCACATCATGTGGCTTTTTTAAAAAGTTGCAAAGATGACTAAATTTATCCATATTTCAGGGTGTAGAAAGAATATCTTATCAACTGCAGCAAATTGCTCACACTGGACGCAAAAGTAATAATCTTTCAATTATCCGGAATGTAGAACCCCAGCGTGTCTCATTATCCAAAATTGAAACAACCTTGTACTGCTTCTTTGCTAAAAATAGTGTATGTAAGTTTCTTAGCTTCTTTACAACATAATGGACTTTTACCAAATATTGGGTAATATTTTTATTTTTTAAATCATACGAATAGCTTGCTGCAAAGTGTGAATAACACAGCATATCAGCTTAATGTCAGTAGACGATTGTTGACACCATTCTCTGGGTTGATAAAGGCTAGATTTTCTTCCTGATCCTTCACTTTCTTCTTCGTTTGTATCCTGTTGTAAAAATTCCACTTTTTCTTAATCATGCAAAGCTTCATCTCAAAAATTTTCATCACCTGAATATTTGTTTAAAATTGTGATTGCTCTAATCATTTTGTCTGCATTGTCTACACTTGCACATACTATTTGATTATTGCTGATACCAAATCTATATGGAGTATCATCCACCATTTTTTTGATAGCAATAGGGTTGTGCTATCCTTGTGTATCTATCAGTGCCAAAATTTTTAATTTTTTTTTTGCATAATAATATTGAATATTTATTTACAAACAGTTATTTTTTTTGTTGAGTGGCTGCATCTATTTTAACATAAATAAATTTCTGTAACAATATTTTCTTTATTTCAGCTTTTTTTTTCTCCTGCAAATTCATTAATCAAATTGTGTACAGAATTGTGTCCGGTACTGAATCCAAGAGTTTTACCTAATTGGCCTGTAACCAACTGAAATCCTTTATCCGCAAATGTTTTCAACAAAACTCTGTTATTCACTACCATTTTAATAGTTCCAATATTATAAATTTTAACACTAACTTGATTTGTTGTTCATCTACTCGCAATAACAAAAGAATCTAAAGTAATCTGTTTAGTTTTTTTAGTATTGAAATCTTGTGAATGTGATAAAATAATTTTGAAGATTTTCTTTGGGCCATAAGGCTCATTTCAGATTCAACAACTTTATATTCTGATAGATGTGATTTTTCCAAATGCTGTTTCATATTGTATATTTTTGGTTTTATTATTTGCATGGCGCATGAAATTACTTAATAATTTAACTTTTCTGTAAGCTTACATGTAACCAGTTTTGTAGTTTATGAATTGAAAAATACTTATCTAGAAACCTTATAAAAAACTATGATAATCAAGCAAATGACAAATTTTAAAGATAAGAGAATAATAATAAAGGTAATAAAAAAGATAGTATAAACAAAAATAATATCAATAATATCAAAAAATAAAATGTTTAAATCTTTTCCTAATTTTATTTGGAACTCACATGTTTATATCTATTTTAAAAATGTTTCAACTAATTAAAAACATTAAAACAAATCATGTGACTTAACACATTCACAAAGTTATTTTTTGTTAAGGATTGTCCATAAAGTACGTTTATGAAAGATCATACATAAAGTACACTCGAATGGAGGAGAGGGGTCAATTATAAAAGAAAGGAGACACTAAATTTAAAAAAATTATCATAAAATATTGAGTAGGTTGGTTAAAAGGGTAGGTACTTTTAGGTAAAAAAAAGTACCTACCCTTTTAATTTCAAAAAAGTGTAAAGCAAAATGCAGGATGTGGAGGGGGGGGGGGATAAACTAAAAGCTAACATACTTTATGGATGATCCCATAACCAATCATTGACATTGTTTAGAAGTATTATTTAACTTAAAGTAACTTATCATACTCTACAATAAGAACCACATGTCATATTACACAAAATAATTGGATAAAAATTAAATTCTAAAAAAAAAATTTTTTTTTTTTCTTTATAAATCTTACAAAAAAATGCATTATTTAGAAAATATAATTATTTTAATGAGCGTAATTGTTTAAATTCTTTAAAAAAATAACTTTATGGAAATTTGATATTTCAAATTATCAAAAGGGTGGAGCTGGCTTGGAGCTGGCTCCGGTAAGAAATATTTTAGCTCCAGCTCCGGCTCAGCTCCATGTAAAATCAACAGCTCCGGATAGCTCTGGCTCCAGCTCCGGAGCTGCTCTAAAGCCCTGGGTGAAAGTGTTTTTTACATTAGTAAGTTGTGATAATTAATTGCAGTAATTAATTTTAAAAAAGTGCTGTATAAAATATAAGAAAAGACATGGCTGTTTAAGTGAGCTTCATGGCTTCTTGTTTGTTTTTTTTTGAAAATATTTACTAAAAATAAATTTTGAAATATTAGAGATAATTTTGGATGAGTTTTAATAATTCACTGTTACTTTTTATAAAAAATTACATATTTCAGAATTTTTTTTAAATTATAAACATTGTTAGACCATAAAAACTTTTTTTATTTAAACCTAGTAAAACAGGTTTAAATAAAAAAACATCTCATTCTTTTAATAAACTTTCTTTCTGTGCATACAATTCTAATAAGTTATGTTAATAAATAATCTAATATATTAATAAATTAAAAAAACAGAAAAAGTTCAACAAAAATTATTTTTTTGTAATAAAATAATTGGTGGTACTTGGATCAATAATATTTTTTAATAAAAAAAACAAGTTTTGCCTGTTTAAATGTCTATATAGCTAATTTAAATTGTTTGATAATTCATTGCTATTTTCAAAAACAAAAAACTTTTTTATAAACATTTGTTCCATGCATAACGTCAGTTAGTACTAAATGATATTTGCACACCCAGTTGATACTTGGATTTATATTCCACTTTTATATTAGAATATTAAACTTGCCTTAAGACAATTTTAATAGTTTTGTTTTAATATAAGTGACTTTAAATAATCATCATTTTGTTCATAAAATGCGTACAGCATAACACTTCTTAACAAGGCCTGTATATAGTAATTTATATCAATTATAACTATTTAATTGTTGTATCATTATATTCATTAGTTCATTGATGTTGCAACTAAAGGTCACATGACAGACACATTGGTTAATGTGAAATTTTCATGTTTATGTTGGACACATGATAACAAAGGAGTTTTTTACAACGTAAAATTTTTTTCTATTATAAATTTATTTAGTTATAGTTTTAATGTTTAACTTTTTTTTTTTATTATTTTGATATTTAATTTGTTTAAAATTACTCATAAGATATTAATTTGAAAAATTATAAATTGTTTTTAGAAATATAATAAAGATGAGTCATCAAAACAAGATGGCACTGAAACTGATGCAAATCTTAATCAAAAGGTTAAAATAAAAAAGTTGTTAAATCTGAAAAAACATGAATGTTAGTTTTCACCCACAAAACATGTCAGTTTTTACCCAAACTATAATTTATACAACTTATTCTTGATAATGTTGTAATGATGATGATGGTGGCGATAATCTTTTGAGCATGAAGTTGTGTTAGTGTAAAATATACATAAAGAAAGGGTTGGGAGAGAGAATTATTGATATATTACATCTTACTTAGATTTATATATATACAGAAAGAGAGAAAGTTGAATTATTAACATGTTACATTCTGTTTAGGTTTGTATTAGGGTTTATTTTACTTAGACCTAGCAACTTTAAGTCAAGCATTGATTTTGTAAACACCAAAGGGATTTATTTCTCAGCTATTCTGTTAAATACTATCATTCTGTTAAATATAATCATTCTGTTAAATATAACTATTCTGTTAAATATAACTATTCTGTTAAATATAACTATTCTGTTAAATATAATCATTTTGTTAAATATAACTATTCTGTTAAATATAACTATTCTGTTAAATGCAATCATTCTGTTAAAAATAATCTCTAAAAATAAAATAAAAGTACTTCTACAACTTTTGTATATATTTTTTTATTTTTTTATATTTATTTGTTAAGTTTAAAGATTAGTTTTAAGACTTCATTTACTGTGATTTCAAGACTTCAGTTAACTTTTTCAACGCTTTATTTAAGTTTTTTAAGACTTCATTTTTTCAATTAACTTAACCTCATTCTAAAACTAATTTTGAAACCTTATTTTAAAACTTATACATTAACATGAATATTATTTAAAAACATTTGAATTATTTTTTAATTAGTTATTCTATCATGTTCTTGGTACAGAGCAAAGTGAGGATATACTTATTGCAGAATTTCCAGAAAATCCAAAATGGATGTGGTTAGTAAAAAATTGTTTTTTTTTTTTTTTAAGTTATTTGATTATTGAAAGTTTAAGCTTGTTAAAAAAGTTTATAATTATAGTTATTATAATAATAATAATAGTATCTTTAACATATATCAAATAAATATATAATATGCAAATTTTTTCATCAGCAATTCTGAGCTTGCAAGGTTTTCATTTTTCTCACTGCACAGTACTTCTCATTTTCACAATTCATTCATATTTTAAAAGATTTTTTATTTGCTATAAACATCTTCCTTTGTTATAAACAATTTTTAAAAGAAATACCCTTATGTTATCTTAGTAAAGCTTTAGATTTTTGTTAAGATTTCAAAAGCTTGAAATTTATATATATATATATATATATATATATATATATATATATATATATATATATATATATATATATATATACATATATATATATATATATATATATTCTAGATTCCATTCTCTACCTCTACAAATATTTTATTCGTCTCTGTAGAGAATACTGTTGTCCTATTTGGGCTGATTCAATAATTATTCCCTATTTAAGAAACTAATATAACTGACCACAAACAAATTATAAAACGCAGATATAATATATATAGATATATAGATATATATATATATATATATATATATATATATATATATATATATATATATATATATATATATATATATATATATATATATATATATATATACACAGTTACGTGCAAAAGTTTAGTTCACTAACTTTTTTTCAGTTTTTACTGCATAACTTTTAACAAACTTTCATAAATAATTTTTACCAAATGTGCTCTATATTATTGTAAAATGCTAACCACAAAAGTTGTAAAATTGAACGGTTAATTAACTTGTTTTTTTTGAAAAAGCTTCCAAGCAAGTTTAGAAACGATATTATACCCCACAATTAAATTTTGTTTTTGTAAACAAAAGCAAAGTTTAAGGCAAAAATATTTGTGAAATTTAATAATTTCATTACTTTGAGATATTTCAATGGCAGTAAAGTATAACTGATTGCCAAAATATTTGTAAAATTTTATATTAATTCAATTAATTTGCAATAATTTAAAAGATTGTGAAAAACTTTTAAAGTATTGCAAATTAATTGAATCATAAAAATGTGTGTGTGTGTGTGTGTGTGTGTGTATGTGTGTGTGTGTGTGTGTGTGTGTGTGTGTGTGTGTGTGTGTGTGTGTGTGTGTGTGTGTGTGTGTGTGTGTGTGTGTGTGTGTGTGGTTTAATTTAATTAATTTTATCTTTCATTTCATCTTTAATTTTTGTTATTTACTTTTATTAATATAAATAGTTTACAACTAATAAATCTTTTTTTAAAGCAATGCAGAAATCAGTGATGATGGTCAATACATATTTTTGACAATATCAGAAAGCTGTGATCCAGTCAATAAACTTTATTTTTTTGATCTCAAAACAATTAATTATGAGATAAAAGGTATTTTCTAGTTTCGGGTTTATTTTTGCTTTTATTCTTTAATGTTTATGTAAATATTTTTGACTAAATTTTATTGGGATAGATGAATTGAGTGTGTCTATTTTAGTCAGTGTACATACATCTATTTTATTAAGTCAGTGTACATACATCTACTGAGAGTTTTTAATTTCTGTAGACAATGTTTAAATGTTGGCATTTAGAAACTAAATGAGTCTAAATAATTCAAGCTCATTAACAACCATTTTGTTTTTAACTTTTTTTTCAAAGTACATTTATTTTTTTAATGTTAGTCCACCTCCCCAAGACAGAGGAGACCACTACAGTCGAGAAGTCTACTTTAGTTTCATTATGTTTCACATCTCACTATGCTTACTAAGTCATTTAAATTACATTTTATTAGAAAAATCTAATTTAATTATATGTAATTTATATTAGGGTGGCTTATAAAACTACCTTTTTTGATAATGTCTGCTGGTTCTCCCTAAATATGTTCTATGTAATAAATTAATGAATTAAAAAAATTTTTGAATAAAAAAAAGCTTTAAGGGTTGCTCAATACCTTTGAACATCAGACGGGTCCCTAATATTTTGAGTAAAAAGGTTCTTTAAAAGCATATCATGTTGGATCTCAAAAAAAGTAAAATTTTATAAAAATTTCAAAAATAATTTTATATAAAGATAACTAGCTTAAATTTTGTTTTAATATAAGTGACTTCAAATAATAATCATTTTGTTCATAAAATGCGTACAGCGTAACACTTCTTAACAAGGCCTGTATATAGTTATTTATATCAATTATAACTATTTAATTGTTGTATCATTATTTTCATTAGTTAATAAACTTTTTAAATTTGTGGTTCCATAATTTTTTTTATTACTTTTGAAATTTTTATAAAATTTCACTTCTTTTGAGACCCAACATGATATGCTTTAAAAGAACTTTTTTTTCAAAATATTAGGGACCTGTCTGATGTTTATGGGTCTTGAGCGACCCCTAAAAAATTTTTTTATTCAAAAAGTTTTTAAACTTTCTATCAATTTATTATATAGAACACCATTAGAAGGTACAATCAGACATTGTTTTTTGAGCCACCCTAATGTATATAATATATATATATATATATATATATATATATATATATATATATATATATATATATATATATATATATATATATATATATATATATATATATATATATATATACATATATACAACTCTCGAAATTAGGAAAAATGAGGTCTGCAATAATTTGCCAATTATCTCCTGAAATGTTTCACTCTCATTGATGGATTTTAATGGCAGGGTTTCACAATTCCTAAAATTAGCATTGTGATGTCCTTTCCCAAACCACTTTATTACATAATCCTTAGGATCAAAATGGATAGTTAGTAGGCCTACTTATAAAATAAACATTAAACTTAAAGGGATCCCAAACTCCCAACACATGTTGTGTTCATATTAAAGATAATGTTAAAAAAAAGGTTTGAACCAAGTTTTTATGATTAAAAATAAATAATGAATGCATACCGAGAAAAACTAATGTTGTTGTTTTCGCCGAAGCTTGCCTTCTCCATTTTATTCAAAAACTTGGAGTCTTTAAATTATACATCGCAATCTACAGACTTCAGCGATTCCTTTGAAGGGCGTATAATTCATAAAAGTTTTAGTATTTGATGTCACAGTAAACTTTTGACAAATGAAACTGTGGAAAAAAAAATTATTTTTATTCATAAATTTTTTCATTATTTGTTTAGTAATTTTTTTTTTATTTAACATTTAAAAAGTTTTTTTTTTCTATTTTTAACATTTAAAAAGATATTAAAAACCTCAAATATATTATGCTGGTTTGTTGCTATAAATTTTTATTGCACCATATATTTAATGTTTATAAATTATGAATATTTATTATCTCAATCAAGACTTTGATAAAAAATTGTTTTACATTAATTACCAGTATAAAATTAGTAACAGCATTTTTATTTGGTTAGACGATATTTCGTTTCAATTTGCTTTGTGTGAAGTTCAGAAACGAAAAAAATTAGTTTGAATAATCACGTCGAAATATATTTTAAAAAAATTTAATGACGGGAGTTCTAAAGTTTTTTATAACAAATGTAGGTAAAAAATTAATAACTAAATAAAAAGTTCATTATTAAACATCATTTCTTTATTATATTGCAACTGTAAATATTGAAATATTAACTTGAACTAAATTTACTTATTATTTAGAACAACTAAGTAATAAAAATAAAAAGCCCCTAAAATTATGCGATATAAAAGAGTAGAACAAAAGAGAAAGAAAAGTTTTGCGTAATTAAACTTTGAATAAATAAGAGTTGTATAAAATATATATATTTTTTGCGTCACTCGTTCTTTTTTAAAATGAGAGAAATAATTAAAAAGTTTAATAGTAACTTTTCTTTGAATAAATGAGAATTGGAAGAGAAAGTTGCTTGAAAATTTGTATTTGTCAATTGTGTTTTTAAAAGTTTTTAATTTTTCATGTTAAGAAACTAATGCCAAATACAACACAAATTTGGAAAATATAAGTGTTTTTTAACGCGTGTTATGGCATTTTGACAATTTAAATTACCATCTATCTTGAATTATTGCCATTAATTAATGTGTTAATTATTGTGTTATTTAATGATAATTTGTCCATATTTTTGTTAAATATTAGTTGTATAAAACCGGCGAAAATATACGTAATTCATGTTTTTAATTTGATGGTTATATAATATTGAACAGTAAACTTATAATCAAAATTTATAATGCCGACATGTGTTGCTATTAATTGTACTTTTAATGCAAAACCAGGATCTCACATATCCTTTCACGAATTTTCATATCTGATGCTACTGTCAACTGTATTGTTTAGTGTATTCTTGTACTTTTTTTTCATAACCTAAACAGGTTCTAATCTGTATGGAATTGCCGACATTTTAAAAGTTTCATTATCAAAAATTAAATGTAAAATAGAATGATATTTCTTTTTTATCCATATCCAATTTAGCAATTTAAATCAAATCAGCGTAATCAAAAAAATTTTATAATAAAAAAAGTTATCAATTCATCAAATATCTCTAATTAATACTGTCAGTTTATGAAAGTTATTGTTGATAAATACTTTTTTTCAACGGGAAAACAAAAAATGTCATAGCATAAAAGTAACCAGAGAAGTTCCCATTGTTTAAATAAAAATAAGTATCAGAATATATAATACTGCGCTCTCTTGCACAAAAACGAGAGACCATATAAAACGTTCTATATAATGTAAAATACTCGCATGAAAATCATAAGATTGGTAGGTAAAGTTTTAATATTTGTTTTAATTTAAAAACAATGGAAATATAAGTAAGATATATAAATTCTAAAACTATCTGATAAGATATCTGTAAAAAATAAGTTGCTCCTATAAAATAAAAATAATTTATTGTTTTTATTTTTTACAAATATTTTTTTGCGATGTTTGGAAAAATAATACAAATAAATTTTTTTTGCTGTATGTTAAAAAAATACTACATTGTACTTTTCGAGTTAAAGTAGAAAAACGCAGCTTTGTTTAATTACACTTTTCATTTATTAAAAGTCTACCTTGATGTCAAATACTAAAACTTTTATGAATTAATCGCTGAAGTCTGTAGATTGCAACGTATAATTTTAAGTGTTTTTGAATAAAATGAAGAAGGCGAGCTTCGGCTAAAACAACAACATTAGTTTTTCTTGGTATGCATTCATTATTTATTTTTAAACAAAAAAACTTTGTTCAAACCTTTTTTTTTAACATTATCTTTAATATGAACACAACATGTGTTGGAAGTTTGGGATCTCTTTAACATGTGTTCAGAGCAGTTCTCCTAATGATCTTCAGCCTCATAGCAGTGCTCAGAGGCTAAGCATCATTACAAGTTTTAAAATACACAATACGCAGTTTCTTTATTTATTTCAATGTCTTTTTTTGTTGCTATTATTAACTTTTGCTTTGAAATACAAAAAAAGACTCAATATTTTATAGTTATGGATTTTGTAATTGAACTTGCTTCCGCAAGTTTTTTAATTAAGAAGTTAATAACAGCTGCAACATTAGTTCTTTTCAACTTTCTCATTGTTGTTAATATAATATTTTTACAAGCTTAACTTGTTTCTCTGCGCAGTAGCCTTGTTCATAGAGATTAGTGTTTTGGAGAGCTGAGAGAAGGTTGTAACCACAAAAAACAGTAGCCTCCTCGGCTGTAGTGGCCTTCGCATTAAAAAGGTAATGGAACAGTTTTCAAATTTAAAAAAAGTAACAAGATGGCATCATCTAATCTTGCCTCACTTCGAGTTCTTTATATTTATAGTTCTATAAATTGTTGGCTTTGAGAGTACTGAAGGTAAAAAATGGTTCTTTTAACAACAAAATGTGTCACTTTGACTTTCATTCAGTGTTGCCTTAATTAAAAAACCACTAACTTAATTAAAAAAGCTAATAAATTAATTAAAAAACCATTAACTTGATTGACAAAACCATTAAATTAATTAAAAAACCCATTAACCTAATTAACAAAATCATTACAGCAAAAATGCAAACTTAACTTGAATTTTTTTTTATATATATAACAGAATATGCTTTTTTTCATTTTTAAGCGTTTTATACAGTTTTTTATATTAAATTTTTTATTTTTATTTTTTTAGATATATAGATATGCTATATATATATATATATATATATATATATATATATATATATATATATATATATATATATATATATATATATATATATATATATATATATATATATATAGAGAGAGAGAGAGAGAGAGAGAGAGAGAGATTTCTATATAGTATATGTAATCAATTTTTTCTTTCCCTCTACTTTAGGTCTTTTAGAGTTCCAGAAAATTATTGATAATTTTGAAGCATCCTATGATGTAAATATTATAATACTATAATAATATGAAAGTTATATAAAATATTTTGATAAAGTAATAAATATGTGAATATAAATATGTTTTTTTTTTTAGTGTTTGAGTTTATGACTCATTTTATATTATTCTTTTTAAAAAGTATTTTATGTAAGATAAAAAGATTTTTATTTAAATTATTTTGTAGTATATTACCAATAATGAATCTCTGGTTACTCTTCGAACAAATTTAAATGCTCCTCGATATAAACTTATTACCCTTGATTTAAACAATTTTAGTATGGTAAGACTTCTTTTTATTTATTAACTTTTCAACTGGTTTTAATTTGTTTAAAAGAAGACAGTTGAATATCAAAACCCGAACATTAGGTACTTTAGGTTGAGTCTTTTATATTGGGTCAGACAACTTAGGGTTGAGTCTTTTATATTAGGTCTTCAGACAACTTAGGATTGAGTCTTTTATATTAAGTCTTCAGACAACTTAGGGTTGAATCTTTTATATTAGCTCTTCAGGCAACGTAAGGTAGGTCAAGATTTAGGATATGTTCTTTTTATTTTCAAAGTTATACTTTATATAAATTTAAAATACTCTCTATAACACTCTCAAAATAATTTTTGCATTTTGACATTCTTTAATAATAAAAATTATTGATTTTAGTGGATACTTTTGGTGGATACTTTTAGTGTATAGTGGTTTTAGTGAATAGTTTTAATAGATAGTGGTTTTAGTGAGTAGTGGTTTTAGTGGATAGTTTTCAATATGCATCAGACTGATGTTGCAATTTTTTTTCTTCTGTTTTACAATTTAGTTTTAATTTTTTGTTACAAGTTTAAAATGTTTTTTTTATTTCTTTGTTTTTTAGGATAAGTGGACAGTGCTAGTAGAGGAAGATGAACATGTTTTAGAGTGGGCTGCATGTGTTAATTTGAATTTTTTAGTTATTTGTTATCTCCAGCATGTTAAGGTTATTACACTTTTGATAATTCGCAATAAAATAATTGAAGTACCTTTAAATAAAGATTTAAAGCATCCAAACCGCTTTTAAAAAAGTTAGTAGATAATTGATTTAGTAGCAAAAACAGTAACAACAAGTTTGATTTTTTTCTTGTTTGATGCACCCCTAAATAAAATATGTATGTACACTTACTTTCTGTATTTAGATCAGCATTTGGTGAGCAAAACATCCAAAAAATAATAAAACCAAGAATAATAAAAAAAATGATTGCTGCCCCAATCCCAATCAAATGTTTTTTCTTTGTTTTTTAAATGACTAAAAAAAAAATTCACAGTTAAATGAGTAATAAAAAGTAACAATGCCACAAATAATTTAAATAATTCTACACTATTAATTAAATTAAAAAAAAGGAACTCAATACAACATTGAATTGAACTCATTGCAGCTAATAAAAAATTGTTTTAATGATTTATAAAAAATTTATTTATGATGATTTTTTTATTATGAGTTATTAAAAATTAGTTTATACATAAATCATTGTTTTGTAGTTTATTTTGAGTCACTTTTAAGTTTGAAGAAAACTTTTAAGAATTTATATATTTAAATTTATATACTAATAGTTAATATATATATATATATATATATATATATATATATATATATATATATATATATATATATATATATATATATATATATATATATATATATATATATATATATCATAGAGCTTTGATTGCAAGCTCATTCTAAAAGCATTTTTAATATCATTATTTAAAGCAATTTAATATTATCTTATATTATTTATTCTTAGTTTCAAATTAGATTAAAAAGAAGTTTGTAATAATTGAATAAATATTACATAACAATGTTTTACTCCAGTGATATGCCTTTAAAACAAAAGTTTCTAGTGGGAATGGAAAATCTTTTTTTAGAAAGAAACTACGCTGATGTTAACTCCACTATTAATCTACTAAAAAAAGCATCCAAGTTATAATCTGCATTAATCTGTTTGTTTTTTCTAAACATGCATGTGTATGTATTGCTCATGTGTTCACATACATGTGAACAACTTGGTAATAAAGATAGCCTTAAAGCCGACAGTTTCATAAAAAATGCTCTAAACACTGTTCTTAAAAAATGCTCTGAACACTGTTCATAAAATTACAAAATAATTAATATTTAATATACAATTATTAATTATTAATTAATAATTGTATTAATAATTAAATTAATAATTAATATACAAAATAATCTGATATTTTTTCAAAAAGCTACTCTGTTAAAAAATTAATCAAAAGAAAATACTCTGAATAAAATTGAATAAAAAATTGGTGTCACCAATCAGCTGAATAACTTTAGAAATTTTCTAAATACTATTTAAATTATCTTATTGTATTTACAATATATTTAACATGGAGCATACATAAAACAAAGTTAAGGATAATATATCTGATATTACTTTTTTTTTATTAATAGCATAGACTGTACTTACATCATTTGAATACTGGTGAGCGTTTTTATGAACTTCCTTTAGATGTTGGGTCTATAATAGGATTCTCTGGTAAAAAGCATCAAACAGAGGTGGGATAATAAATTTTATTAAGGTTTTAAATTAGATATATTAAAAATATGATAAAAAATATACTTAATTACATCTAATTTTTATTTTTTACTTTTTTTTACTGTATTCACCAAAGTTGATAGGGCCATTTCAGTTAGTTAGAAAATTCATTTTTCTGTTAAACAAAGATTTTTTGTTTCTAGATTTTCTATTTGCTTACATCTTTTCTCATACCTGAAAGAATTTATTATTGTGATTTTTCTGGAAGTAAATATACACCAAAGGTTAGTTGGGAAAAATTGTATATATTATTACATTTTTATCTATGTTATGTATATATTATATGTATGAGTGAATATATATATATATATATATATATATATATATATATATATATATATATATATATATATATATATATATATATATATATCAAAGCCGTAACCACAATTTTCATATTAAGGGGCACATATTACATATTAGACTTTTTTTTTATTACTTTTTTTTTTTTTTGGGAACACATTTTTGGGGCCCAGAGATAGGGAGAGGTCCAAACATAGCAGGGGAAAAGCCCTAACAAATATATGTTTTTCCCTAATAATTATAGTTTAATAATTTTTTGGGAGGGCTTAGGCCCCCCTGGTCCCCCAGTGGTTATGGCTCTGCATGTATATTAGGTATATGACTTTTTTTCAATCAAAATTCAAGATGATGAACTTATATCTAAATATAGTAAATATGACTTAATTTTTGTTTAAATTTTAAAAAACCTGGTGCACCCTTAAAGAAATAGCTACAATGCTTAATTCACACAAGTTATATATTGTAAAACAGAAATTTTAAACATCCATATGAATATATGCTTAATTTAGTCGCTATTGAGTATTCATAATTGTAAATTTGAGTTAAAGAATTTAGCATTAAGGTACTTGTCACTTTTGCAGGTAGTATAAATGTCTTCCATTATTTTGACTGCTCTTTCAGCCACAATGTTTGATGGTGGAATGTCAATGACTGAAGGCTGATTTACCCAATGCGTTTGGAAACACTTTGTTGTTTTATGGCAATCAAATTCTGAAACAGCAGAATGCAATTCTTCAAAACTGTGTTCAGTGAAATGCTGATTAGAGAACCACGCTGATGCCCATACAGTTGATATAAAGTTGCAGATACTGCTCAGCGATGTTCTTCCAGGAGAAAATAAGCTAGTAGAGCATATGTTGCTCTAGAGTTCCATCTTGCATTATGAAGTGAAGGAAGTTTTCGCCACTTGATTTTTGGAAATTTAGCGCATTTCTTGTACACTTTGTAAGCCTCACAAAGTTCGAATAGAAACTTGAAATCACTCCTCCATCCAGCATTTTCAGAAACAGGTACTTTGACTTCGCCTGTATATTTCGTCTCAAGGTTCTCATACTGACTGCAAATGTTATCAACAAACTCATAGTTTATAACTGGTTTCTGTGAGACTTTAGAACACAGAAGTCAAGTAAATGATGAAGAACCAAGTCAAGGATGTGGTGTTGGTACCCAATGTATTGCGGTCTAATAATAAATTTTCTTTCAAATTCTTTATAAAGCCGAGTGATTATTCCATTTCTGCTACCAGTGTTGACTGTTGTTGTATCGCACACAATCATTTTAATACTCTTCCACGCATTGAAGTCATCTAAGAGCTTCTTCAATCCAGAAAATATGTTTGCAGCCGAACCAGATTTACATATGATGATACCTAAATTCAATTTCCTTGAAAGACTTTGCAAGCAAACAATTTCATATTCTTTAGATGACAGTTTCTTTCCATCAAAATGCAAAGAGAAATCATTTTCCTGCTGAAGAATGCATTTTATTTCAGCAGCCTTGCTAAATCCATCTCTGACCACTCTTTTCCATATTCCAGTTTGTGATGGTGTGGGTAACTTAGCAGAACATTTAGCAGCTAGACTAGAACAGGCTCTGGATGATTGTCTTGTAGATAGAGATTATTTGGTAACCAGATTTGCAGCAGCCTTTGTTTTTTAATATTTTTTCCTCTTTGTTTCCACTTCAGGTATAAAATCATTACCAGGTGATATTTCAGTATCAGTTTCTTGCACAGAATCATCTGAAGTTTTTCATCTGAAAAAATTGTGAGTCAAGATATCTTATAAAAAACTGATTTGTTCCAGAATCATACAATGATGTCCATTTGACCTTTTTGCATAGTCCGATTTAATGACTCATCAAATGAATATACAAAAAAAGGTAATAACAATATTTCTTTATATAAAAAATCAAAATATGTATGGTGCAATTCCAAATTTTGTAATATATTCACACTTTGTTCGACCTAATTGAAACTTTTTTTTTTTAATCAGAAAACATTAATGTAAATAGTGAGTTTCGTCCTTCACGTGATCTTTTTAACATAGATGAGTTTTTTCCGGAAATTCCCGGAGTTCCGGTGTTGTATGTTTCCGGTGTTGTATGTTTTTTGATATTTGTTTGAAAAAAAATAAATATATTTTTACATAAAATTTTACATACGACAACTTTTGCATTTAAACAAATATGTTTTCTATAATTAAAATTTTCACAAGATCGATTTTCGTAACAATTTTTTTCTTCATTTTTTTTTGCTTTTTAATTCATTCAAACTTTTTCGAATATTAGAAATTCCTTTTTGTAAAAAATTAATTAATATAAATTCCTTTTTAAAATAATCTAAATTGCGTTTGTCAGTTAAATGCGATCAATTTTTAATAAAACAATTTTCCAGGATTTTCCAGGATTATCAAAGAAAAAAATTTCCAAGATTTTCATAAAGTCAAATACTCATCTATGTTTTAAAGATTTTAATAAAGCCACATGTAATACCCATTTAACTTCAGCAGTTATTACTTGTTCATTTATAAATATCATATCCAATCTTTTAGAAGTAGATGGCTTTTCAATAACCTAAATTGTACTGTTTTTAAAGGTGATGAAATAATCGATTTTGAAAAATAGTTACTTAATGAACTTGATACAGGAGGCAACAACTTATTATTTTTTTTACTTTTAAGATGACTTTTTAACGCATTTTCACCCATATTTTTAACAATGATGTCTTTTTTACAAAAAGAACATGATGCAACTGTCATACTTTTTTTAATAATCCAATTTTTATATTCAAGTGCTTGTAACCATGTATTTGAAAGATGTGAATCTTGAGGCATTCTACTATTTATATTTTTAGTCTTTACACTTTTGTTTAAAATTAAATTTATTCAGATAATAAACTAAAAAATAATTAAAAATTCAGAACTTTAGAAAAACTAAATAATTTGATTTTCAAGGCTTAAAACTCCACAACTTCAGATATAACAAAAACAAAAATAAAACAAAAATTCAAAGTAATTTAAGCAATATATAAAAAATAAAGAAATATATTTAATTATATATATATAATATTATATAAATTGTTTGAATTTAATTTTAAATAAAAAAAGAGAATTTTGATTTATTATTTAATCAAAAAGTTTTCTTTATTTTTTATATATTGCTTAAATTACTTTGAATTTTTGTTTTATTTTTATTTTTGTTATATCTGAAGTTGTGGAGTTTTTATATATTGCTTAAATTACTTTGAATTTTTGTTTTATTTTTGTTTTTGTTATATCTGAAGTTGTGGAGTTTTTATATATTGCTTAAATTACTTTGAATTTTTGTTTTATTTTTGTTTTTGTTATATCTGAAGTTGTGGAGTTTTAAGCCTTGAAAATCAAATTATTTAGTTTTTCTAAAGTTCTGAATTTTTAATTATTTTTTAGTTTATTATCTGAATAAATTTAATTTTAAACAAAAGTGTAAAGAGTAAAAATATAAATAGTAGAATGCCTCAAGATTCACATCTTTCAAATACATGGTTACAAGCACTTGAATATAAAAATTGGATTATTAAAAAAAGTATGACAGTTGCATCATGTTCTTTTTGTAAAAAAGACATCATTGTTAGAAATATGGGTGAAAATGCGTTAAAAAGTCATCTTAAAAGTAAAAAAAATAAGTTGTTGCCTCCTGTATCAAGTTCATTAAGTAATTATTTTTCAAAATCAATTATTTCATCACCTTTAAAAACAGTACAATTTACGTTATTGAAAAGCCATCTACTTCTAAAAGATTGGATATGATATTTATAAATGAACAAGTAATAACTGCTGAAGTTAGATGGGTATTACATGTGGCTTTATCAAAATCATAAAAAAGATCACGTGAAGGACAAAACTCACTATTTATATTAATATTTTCTGATTAAAAAAAAAAGTTTTAATTAGGTCGAACAAAGTGCGGATATATTACAAAATTTGGAATTGCACCATACATTTCTTTGTTATATAAAGAAATATTGTTATTACCTGTTTTTGTATAATCATTTGATGAGTCATTAAATCGGACTATGCAAAAAGGTCAAATAAACATTATTGTATGATTATGGGAAAAATCAGTTTTTTACAAGATATCTTGACTCACAATTTTTAGGAGGTGCAAGTTCAGAACAGTTATTAAAATCTTTTAATCAAGTTGTACCTCGACTTAACATACAAAAACAGTTCAGATATATTCAGATGGGCCTAAAGTCAATTTAAAGCTTTTAGAAATTTTAAAAAAAGATTGTGAACTTAATGAGTATCCAGCCTTAATTAAAAATTGGTACGTGTGGCCTCCATACAATTTATGAAAGCCTAAAAACATCAATCAATAAATCTGAATGGAAGCTTGGTGAAAAAAATTGAAAGCTATGTGGAAGTTTCTCAATGAATGTCCTTCACATAGAGAAATCTATGAAAATGTATCTGAGATGAAGGTTTACTCTTAACCTTATTGTGGCCATCATTGGACGAGAATCAAAGCTGTTGTGAACGAGCAGCTTGTATTTTTCCTGGGTAATGAAAGTTTCTTGAATACTTACAAAGTTTACCAAAATCAAAGCATATTAATTAACATTCTCAGTATGTTTTTATTGAATGGTGTTTTGGAAAAGTCTGATACAATTAAAAAAATAATGAAGATAAATCTATTAGATCCAATGTTATACAAAAGAGAAAATACAATTGATATTGGTCAGTCTGGCAATATGTAAGTTCAAAAATACAAAAGATTATCAACATCAAAACATAATTTTAAAATTTTACAAAGATGTATGCATTTTTTCCATTTTAGAAAAATCTCCCATAAAATATCTTATTGTCATGTGTTCATCCTGTCTGGATCCAATTAAATTAGCAGATAGTGAAGAGTGTAACAAATAAGAGTGTAACAAATA